GTGCCACCTTGACTGTGAGGCACAGCTGGGCCCCAGCGGTAGGAGGAGGCATTGCCTGGGGAAAGGCCCAGCGGCCGCCCCTCGGTCTCCGCACACTGCTCAGCCATGAACGCCAGCTGGGTGGTCTCGCAGGCCTGCCAGACAGGGCAGGGGACAGGCATGGAGGCTGGGGTGGGGGCTTGGGCAGGGTCGGCCCAGGGCTGGGGGCCCTTGCACCTGGGGACAGGGAGGCACCCTGAGTGTGAGGCCATGAGGAGGGTTTGAGCCTGGCTCCTGGCTGCACCTGTTCCCTGCTCTGTAAAATGGGGTGACAGGAGCCTTTTTCTGCCGATGGGGAACTCCAGGAGCATTTGTGAGGACACGGGGCAGAGGGAAGCGGGCCAAGAACACCGCTCAGGCCCAGGGCCCGAACCGCAGAGGTCAGGGTCTGGGCCATTCACAGGCACCGCCTCTAGAGGCCGCGTCAGAAAAGGCCAGGCAAGGCTTCACCAAGAGCCTCGGCGGGAGGCGTCGGAGAGAAGAGGCTCGGAGTGGACCGGCCGGCGGACCAGACCGGCCGAAAAAAAGCTGCCCACACACCCCCTCTCCCACCTCGGGCCCAGGCGAGGGCTCCCTGCAGGTCTGGCCCCAGTGGCCGCCCGGAGAAGGTGGGAGGGCAGCTCTCAGACCTTAATGTCAAAGAGATCAGTCCCCGCTTCACACCCACTGCAATGGCCGTGACCCAAACCTGGACAGCCGGCCCTGGCCGGGGGCTCAGTTGGTTGGCGCGCCATTCCACACCCCGGAAGGTGGTGCGTGTGATTCCCCGTCAGGGCACATGCCCAGGTGTCGGGTTCAACCCCCAAGTCGGGGCGTGTATGGGAGGCAAATGATCAGTGTTTCTCTCACATCGATGTTTCTCTCTCTCTTCTCTCTTCCTTCCTCTCTCTAAAATCAACAAAACCATATCCTCCGGCGAGGATTAAAAAATAAAACCAAACCTGGACAGTGAGTGCCGAGAGCGCGTGGAGGAGCTGGAGCCCCCGCGCCTGCCGTGGGCACCAGCGGGGCCGGCTGCTGGGGGCACAGTTTGGAGCCTCCTCAGAGATCACACAGGATTTCTGCTGTGAGCCACACACTCCAGCCGCCCTGGCCCCCCTGGGGCCCTGCCCGGGAAGCCGGCCTACCTGGGTGTTGCACATCTCGGCCTGGAGGTCAGCACCTGTGCAAGCACGCCCCCCAAAGGCAGGTCTGAAAACGCCCGGAGACAGTGGTGAGAGGTGACCCACAGACCCCCAACCAGGGCAAGTGCAGCTCCCCCCCCCCACGCCCCCTTCCATCCAGCACCTGGGGTTGTTGCACTGCCGCCTCCTGGTGACCACGCCTCCTCCGCAGGAGCGGGAGCAAGGACTGGGGGGACCCCAAGCTGACCAGTGCCCGTGCACCGCCTCCATGGGGGTCAGCTCCGCCAGGGAGCGGCAGCGGCCCTTGGAGCACCACTGCAAGGAACGACACCAATCTCTGTCCCCACGGGCACCACACCCACACCCACACCCACAGGCACCAAGGACAGCTCCAGGGCCCTCGCCCTGGCACCCTGTCTCCTGCCCCAGGAATAAGGGCTGCCAGGCTGCAGGTGGCCTGCGCATGTGTGAGCACATCCACACTCACACACGCATGCTCATGCACACACGCTCACACACTCATGCTCACGCACGCACACGCTCACACTCATGCACGCATGCTCGCACACACTCATGCTCATGCACACACGCTCACACTCACTCATGCTCATGCACACACGCTCACACTCACTCATGCTCATGCACACACGCTCACACTCACTCATGCTCATGCACACACGCTCACACTCACTCATGCTCATGCACACACGCTCACACTCACTCATGCTCATGCACACACGCTCACACTCACTCATGCTCATGCACACACGCTCACACTCACTCATGCTCATGCACACACGCTCGCACACACACTCATGCTCATGCACACACGCTCACACTCACTCATGCTCATGCACACACGCTCGCACACACTCATGCTCATGCACACACGCTCACACTCACTCTCCCGCCTCCCTCGCTCCTGCTGACCTTCTGGGGGCCGCACTCGGTCCCGTCCAGGAGCGGGAAGAGGAGGCGGCTGCAGCTGCTGAGGTCCAGGGGGTCTGTGTGGCAGGAGAGCGCCCGGCACGCGTCCTGAGGAGAGCAGGG